ATCGCTCGTGGAGTGCAAAAGATTTTACAGGATTACAAATCTCTCCAAGATATCATCGCTATTTTGGGTATGGACGAGTTGTCTGAAGACGATAAGCTCACTGTATCTCGCGCTCGTAAGATCCAACGTTTCTTGTCCCAACCATTCCAAGTTGCTGAAGTTTTCACTGGTCACGCTGGAAAGTTCGTATCTTTGGAAGAGACCATCCGAGGATTCGAAATGATTTTGAAGGGTCAGTTTTACTTTTTGAAGTTCTGCAAAAAATTCAATTATAACTTTTGCGTTTGCTTCAGAACTTACCTTTTTCATATTCAAAATAACATAATTTTTAAAATAATGCAACTTAGTTGTGATAAAAACTTAGTGCCAATTTTAACTTTAATTTACTCCTAACGTATTTTTTGAAGTTTTTGCATTTGTATCCGTTCAGTTTCCGACTTTTCTTTTGCAAGTGGAGACCAAATTATCAGAACAAAAAATATGAAATGTGCGTATTTTTTGTCAGTAGGTGATGTTATGAGCTCCATTTTCCAGGTGAACTCGATCATTTACCAGAGGTTGCCTTTTACATGCAAGGAGGAATTGACGATGTGTTCGCGAAGGCAGAAGAACTTGCTAAGCAGCATAGCACCTAGATTGAAATTAGTACTGTTACTACTTTGTAGAGATAAATTTAATCTATAAGTTTTGGTTTGCTCGTGCTGTTTAATTCAGTGAAGGCCTACCTGATTGTTGTAATGAATAATTTGTTTCTTGCTAGACGCTTTGCGTCTGGGACTCTCGCTGGCCGTTTGTATGTGAAGTTTTGTTTTAGCTAGATTAGGTTGAACGAAAATGAAAATTATATTAAAATTGTTTTTGAGTGCAGCTGCGTTGAGATGACAAGTCCGGTGAAGAAATCGAAAAAAAAATATGCGGGAAGTGCTCCTATAAGTTTCAGCAGCTTAGTTCCAAGATGCGAAGATGGGGATAATCAGGCCAAAATTGAGGTGTGTTTTATCTGTGCATGTGAGACTATATCTCTTGCAATCTTTCAAAGGTTAGATATAAGATTTAAGAAACAAATCCCGGAATAAATATTCCATGTAGAGTGCGTATAGGCGCAGTAGACTTTACAGCGGGATTTTACCATTCTTGTGAATTTGTAGGTGTCCTAGAAACCTACAATTGAAATGTGTGCAATAGTATAACAAAAGCGCGATAGTATTAGTTGCAAGAACCTTATAGGATGGGCAAAATATGTGATACTGTGTTCGCTATACTCGGAAGGTTGTTGCCACTTTGCTTAGAAAACGAGGGGCGTTGGATTGCACAATTTTGCACTTGCAGTAACACTCTAAAGGTAAAATCTCCATACATGTAGCCTTTCCGTTGAGATATATTTTCTATTGATGAGGGTTTACAAGTGAGTAGATAACCATATGGAGCAAGGACGCCGCTGTTGCATAAAGTCCAAAGTCATATCCAGCCCATGGCGACCATAGCTTCAACTGCCACTTCGTAATTTCTTCTAGGCTCAGTACTAATATAATCTACAAGCTTTTCTAATTTCTAAAGCTAAAAAGTGTTCGCCTTATCATCGTAGTTGAAAATCGACTTTTCATAGGTCGTGAAATCCTTTATTTTTGAACGTATATGGCCTTTTTATTGCAGAAATTTCTCTCCGGTGAGCCCATGTCGTGTGCTCTTCGACAAGAAGCTATGACGTTGTTTGCGAAGGCCATCATCGCAGATACCCAATACCAAAGCAAAGTAATAAGAACAGTTCGATTACCAAACAAACATTTCC